AAAAACTTGATGTGAGCACCAAAATGTTTTTTTGTTTTGACAACTCGTTTTATGCTCCAAATTGAAACGGAAAATATTAGTTCTCAAAAAATAAACACCAAATCAGGCATCAAAACGCATGTCTAATATATACATACATATGTACATAATAATATGTGTGCTAGTGTCCAAGACAATCGGGCTGAAAACGTGTCTCACGAAATTAAAGAGCAAACATTTAAGCGCATGCGCGTGTCAAAGTTTTTAAATTAGCGCTGCTGGTTGTTGCGGGGTGCTTAAATACTAATAAATCGCCCATACAAACACATCACTCAAATTTTTTTTTTTATTCTAGCCACGGAAGTGTAAAACAATTTCAGAACACTTATTTCATATTTGCATAAGTGATTACCGAAGCTGATACTGAGTTGTGGTGCTCAAACAATTTGCAATATTTAGTTAATTGATTCCCGATCACATCGTACAACCTTACGCTTAATATCAGTGTGTGCATGTGTAATGGCGTTTTTGCGTTCAATTTGTGCTCAACGTGCCACAACAAACTTAGTTTATAGTCGCAATAAGAGCAATAGGAGCACAACCTCCGGTTGGAGTGTTAGAAGTAAGGCTACAACTGCCTCACCTATATCTGCAACAGCAGGATCAGCGAGCCATCAAGACTTCCGTCATGACATTGATCGTGACCAAGACGATTTAACATATTCAAAAACATCAAAGTGTCAGATAAATCGGCGGCAACAGCAGCATCGTGAACTCCTAAGCAATATCCTTTATTCGCCAGATCATACGTCACGGCATTCAGTGTTCACAAAAAGTTCTTTGAATCGCTCTGTAGTAACTGCACGACAAGAGGCTGAGCCTGAAGTAAAACGGCCACGGTCACACAAGCCCACGCAGCAACAACAACCAGATGTTCCAATTAACCCCCAACGTGATCCATTGGATGCCAGTTTCAATGACCCTGTCGCGGCATTCAAAAGCAAAACAACATGGGAGTTAATACGAGCCTATTTGGTGTACGCTGTTTGTTCTATTGAAACTGTAGTGGATAATAATCACAAGGTAATTTAACATATATATATATATGTAAGTATATATAAGTGTATCTATGTATTAAAATATGTCACTTTGTGCATCTTCGAACTGAATTTGTGAAAAAACCGTAAGTCCCGCTTAATATTCTCTGTCATATATGGAGGTTAGACTGCCTCACGGTGCACAGTGTAACGTCGCCATATAAGCTGCGGACAAAAATAGTAAACGTTGTCAAATTCCAATCAAATGTTGTATATGGTCGACTTTCACTTAGGAAAGAAGAAATTTGAAACATGGTCAGTATTGGCCTACTGCCACGCCGATTTTGATTAAATTTACTTTGTATATGTGACAGCTTACAAAACAAGTAATTTTTGAATAAAAAATAATAATTTTTTTTTTAACTTCTACCTTCAGCAGCAAGTATTTATATTAAAATGAGAAAATAGTTAAAAACATTTCTTCTTCTTCTTATTTGGCGCTGTAACCGCCTAAGCGATTTTGATCGAGTTCAACAAAGCACGCCAGTCGTTTCTCTTCTGTGCCAACTGACTCCAATTGGAAACGTCAAGTGAAGCCAAGTCCTTCTTCACCTGATCTTTCCATCGCAGTGGGGGCCTCCCTCTTCCTCTGCTACCACCAGCGGGTTCCGAGTTGAATAATTTCTGAGCTGGAGCGTCGGTGTCCATTCCAACGACATGGCCAAGCTGCATTATGTCCATGGCGTTGTAAAGCTCATACAGCTGAAAGGCCCGTAAATCTTCCGCAAAATCTTTCTCTCGAATACTCCAAGCGCCGCCTCGTCGGATGTTGTCATTGTCCATGATTCTGCGCCATATAACAGCATGGGCATGATGAGTGACTTATAGAGTGTGGTTTTCGTATGTCGAGAGAGGACTTTACTCGTGAATTGCCTACTCAGTCCAAAGAAGCACTTGTTGGCAAGAGAGAGTCTGCATCGGACATCCATGTTGACATTATTATCGGTGTTAATGCTGGTTCCCAAGTAAACGAAATTATCTATTTTCTCGACGTCAACAGTGACGTGGGTGCCAAGGCGCGAATGTGCTGACTGTTTGTTTGATGACAGGAGATACTTCGTCTTGTCCCATTCGCTTTGCTTCCTTATCCAACTTGGAAAAGGTAGAACAGACTTCGCGGTTTTTGTTACCGATGATGTTGATATCATCGGCATAAGCCAGCAATTGCACGCTCTTGTAGGAAATTGTTCCTGAGCGGTTCAGTACTGCAGCTCTTATTATCTTCTCCAACATCAGATTAAAGAAGTCACATGAAAGAGAGACGCCCTGTCTGAAGCCCCGCTTGGTGGCGAACGGCTCGGAGAGGTCTTTCCCAATTCTGACGGAGCTGGTGGTTTTGCTCAACGTCATTTTACACAGCCGTTTGAGTTTTGAGCGGATGCTGAATTCAGACATAGTGGCGTAGAGGCAACTCCTTTTAGTACTGTCGAAACCGGCTTTAAAGTCGACAAATGGGTGGTGAGTTTCGATCCTTTTCTCGCGGGTCTTTTCCAAGATTTGGCGTATTGTGAATACCTGCCACACTGATAAGACCCAATCAGTTATTTGACGATGGGCTTCTGTGTTTCACACAATACGCTCGATAAGACCTTAGAACCTATGCCTAGAAGGCTGATTCCGCGGTAGTTGGCGCGAATGGCGGCGTCGCCTTTCTTGTGGATTGGGCAGAGCACACTTAAATTCCAGTCGTCGGGCATGCGCTCATCTGACCATATTCTGCACAAGAGTTGATGATTGCACCTAATCAACTCCTCGCCGCCGTACTTGAATAGTTCAGCTGGCAGGCTGTCAGCTCCAGCAGCTTTGTTGTTTTTCAGCTACGTTATTGCTATTCGTACCTCGTCATGGTCAGGCGGTGGAACGTCGATTTCGTCATCATCGACTGCGGGCCCGGGTTCTTCTTCTCCACAACTTTCCGTACTGCTACCATTTAGTAGGGCGGAAAAGTGTTCCCTCCATAATTTAAGTACGCTCTGAACATTTGTTACTAGGTCGCCATTGTTGTTCTTACAGGACTATGCCCTGGTCTTGAAACTTTCCGTGAAGCGCCTAACTCTCTGGTGAAATTTTCGGGCATTACTCCTGTTGGCCAGCATTTCAAGCTCTTCGCACTCACGTATTTCGGCATCTCTCTTCTTATTGCGGCAAATACGTCTCCCCTCCCTCTTCAGATCCCTGTAGAGGTCCCATATAGCGCGCGTTGTGCCCGATCGCAGCGTGCTCCTGTAGGCGGCATCTTTTTTCGCTGCAGTTTCCTGACATTCCTCATCGTACCAGTTGTTCTTTCGGGTTCGCTGAAATCCGACTACTTCTTCGGCGGTGGTACTTAATGAGCGGGAGATGTGGTTCCACTGCTCGCATATGTCGATATGTTGAAGAGTGCTCTCCGAGAGCTGGTATGAGAGTCGAGTAGCGAAAGCACTGGCTGTCTGTTGTGATTGCAGCTTTTCGACGTTAAGCTTTCCTTGCATATTTGGGCGCACAGTTTTTGCTGCACAGAGGCTGGTGCGTATCTTGGCTGCAACAAGATAGTTGTCCGAGTCGATGTTTGTGCCTCGGAGTGTGCGTACATCTGAAACACTGGAAGCATGACATCCGTCTATCACAACATGATCGATTTGGTTTCTCGTTTTTCGATCCGAACACAGCCACGTGGTTTGATGGATCTTGTATGCTTGAACCTAGTACTGCATACTACCATGTTTCGGGCCCCGGCGAATTCTATCAACCTGAATCCGTTGTCGGACGTTTCGTTTTGGAGGCTGAATTTTCCAACGGTGGTTCCTAAGATTCCACCACAAATCTAACTCCGAATTTGCGCTCCTTTACATGGCAGCTGTAGTAGACGTCGCAAGGCCCCAGACATTGCTTGCCTTGCCCCGTTCAACGCATTTCTTGGATGACGGTGATGTCAGCTTTTGTCCTTACGAGGACATCAACCAGCAGGGCAGATGCACCTTCCCCATTAGGGGTCCAGGTGCATGCCCTCAAATCGTAGTCCTTTAAACGATTTCCGTGGTCGTCATCATAAGAGGGGTCTCATCCGAGGCTTTACCTTGCTTCTTCACTGGAAGTAATTTTTACGTGGCGGGTCCCAAACCCAGCGCACAATCCGTTGCTGGGACAAAAACATTTTAGCTCCCTTTTAATTAGAGTATTTATGATCGGTCCCCCACAAAATATTACTAAACTTACCACTTCCATTTTTACTATTTTTGGTTACATACGTTCCACTGTGCGACGCACACAAAATAATGCGTTGAGGAACCATCATTTGAGCTATTTTATGACTTCCATAAAAATACATATGTATGCAGTGTTCGAGAACAAAAGATATGATCAAAACTAAATGTCGTTCTCGCAGTTTTTTTCCAAAGAGAGCTTCAAAATAAAACCGAAATGAGTACAAAATTGGCGAGAACATTCTTAATGGGAATTATATAAGAACAAAACCGTGTGGAACGTTCCCAATGAGAACACAATGCAAACAATACTTTCGGGAATATTTATAAAAGAACAAAATGGGTAACAAAGCCTCCAGAACGTTTTGGCAAAGAACAAAACGGGAAGAAGAGTCTACGAAAATTTCTCGCGAAAAACATTTTTGGGAACTAAAGTCTAAGTAGGTTTGTAAAAAGAACTGAAACATATCCTGCAAAAAATTGTGCGACTAATCTCTAAAGAGAGTATTCCGAGATTACTCTCAATCGGGTACAATTGGGCATTAAATAGTCGCAACTAGTCTCATACGGGTAGTAATGGAGGTCAATTAGTCTCGACTCATCCCTTATGGGTATAATTGGAGATCAATTAGTCCCCAACTCATCTCTAACGGGTACTATTAACGATTTAATGATATGTACGCCCTTAGTCATGAAATTTCATGTGCGGCGTTGGCACACAGAGAGAGTATTCGCCTAACAAAACTGAGCAACCCGGTTCGAATCTCAGCTGGCGCAATTTTTTATTTTTATTTTTTAAAAGTGACTAGTCGCTTTTTATACCCTTTCGGGTATAAAGGTGAACAATTAGTCTCTTCATAGGACATGCTCGAACAAAAGCGATCAGTTCATTCCATATAAAGAGATCAAAAGTGGTATTAGTCGCATGCTCCTTTGCGATTGCTCCCGGAGTCATCCCGGATTAGTCTCATTTTTTGCAGGGTAATTACGCAAATAAAGTCTACGAAAGACTTAAAACACGTACTTTTATTATTTTACTCTCGATCCTAGATTTTCTTAACAGCGGTGCACAGTGCTGGTCATATAGTACCAAGGGTATAAACTGATATACAGATCTATAGTTTCATTAAGCAATTCTTGGAAACCCTCCAAAATTTTAACGGCAATCTGTAAGCAATGTGGAGAAGGCACTCAAAAAATTTTATATGTGCGTGCAAAGTGGATAGACCGTATTTAAACAAATCTTCCTTTACAGCCCTCTCACGAATATGAAGCGAATTCATTTCAGTTGGTTTTGCACCACATATATAACAAACAGAACCACTGCTATTTTCAGTCAAAACATTAACAACAGCACCATCTACCATTGTTAACATTACTTTAAAGCTAACAGTAATATCCAAGTTTTTAATGTGACAATTATACGGTACGAGATTGTTTATCTGGCTTTGAATGTCATTCTCAAGTTCACGTATAACAAGAGCTGATTCTCTTATAAACGTAATTTTTATAGGTCTGCAAAATTTAGGAGAGGAACACAGTGTATTCAACCACATTTGTTGTCCACTCTCTGCATAAGTAATGCGGATAGGTACCAATGCAGACACTAGTAGAAATTCATCAGTACTTTCAGCTTCTGAAAATTTTTGTTTATAGCGGCTGTGACCCGAACTACCATCAAAGCCCCATTTGCTTTCCAAAATTAAATTGAATTTGTGTTGCTCAGTTTTTTCAAACGAACAAATTTGAAATAAGCTCGAGGTTGTGCTGTTGAGAAAACTTTGTACCGGTACTTCGACTAAAG